CTCCATCACCAGCACCCACAGCGCATCCCTTGTGGTGCTCCACAGAATCACAGAATATGAGGAGTTGGAAGGGACCTGGAAAGCTCCCCCGGTGCAACCCCTGCCAGAGCAGGATCACCAGAGCAGTCACACAGGAACACCTCAGGGCTTTGGGTGTCTCCACACAAGGAGACTCCACAACCTCTCTGGGCAGCCTGGGCCATGCTCTGCACCCTCACACTCACAAAGTTTGGCCTCATCTTCAGCTTGAACCTCCTGTGCTCCAGCTTGGGACCATTGCCCCTTGTCCTGGCATTGGACATCCCAGAGCAGGGCCTGTCTCCTTCCTCCTGACACTGCCCTTTCCAAATGGATCCCCAGGAATGAGGGCACCCCTCAGTCTCCTCTGCTCCAAGCTCAAGAGCCCCAGCTCCCTCAGCCGCTCCTCAGCAGGAGATGCTCGACAGTGTTCACTTCTCCCAAGTGATAGCACTTGTATGGTCAGGAAACATGGCAAGGCCACTGTCTCACCATGGCTGCCAGATCCACACCTCATCTTTGTGGCCCTGCTGGACTCTTTCAAGCAGTTCCTGTCCTTCTTGAGCTGAGGGCCCAGCACTGGCCACAAGATTGCAGCTGTGGTGTGAGCAGGGCAGAGCAGAGGGGCAGGAGAACCTCTCTGCCCTACAACCACCCCTTCTCATCCAGCCCAGGATGGCGTTGGCCTTCTTGGCTCAAGGGCACATTGCTGGCTCATGGGCATTGCTGCCACCAACACCCCAGGTCCTTTCCAGCCACTCATCCCCAAGCCTGTAACTCTGATCTGTTGGAGCTGCCTGCATCAAGGGATCTTTTTTTTTTCCCCTGCCTTCTCCATTTAGTTCAGGGTAGGAAGCCTAAAAGCACCCACAAGACTGGAATTAACCGTGCACGGGGGAAAAGCAGGTCCCGTTGTGCCCTGGGAAGGGAGAAAGGGCTGCAGCCCCTCACCACTTCCCCTCTCTGTCCCTGCAGGGTGGACACCACCGCCCGCAAGAAGCACCTGATCCTCAAATGGTGCCAAGGAGCCGATCTCGTCGAGGTGCTGCACTACCACGCCTGCGACGCCGGCGCGTCCCCCAAATCCCAGCACGTGGGGTGCTTGTTGAACCTGCAGGTCCAGCGCGTGGGCGCCAGGTTCGCTGTGTATCTCACAGGTGAGGACGAGCGGCGTCCTAAATGGGCCTGGGACAAAAAACAAACCAAAAACCACCCGATTTTCACTCCCGTTTCTGCCAAAATGATGGGTAAGGTGAGTTGATTCATTGTGAGTCAGTGCAGTAAAAGGCAGGGAAAAAAAAACCCTGATTTTTTTTTTGTTTGGAGATCTGCTAAATCCTGGTAGGTTTTCCAGCCTGCGGGCGGCTTTACAGCACGCTCTTAATTCGGGCCTCGTGTGGTTGAGGCCATTCACAGAGTGGCGCCATTTATCTGCTCCCCGGAATAAATGCAGTGGGATTTTTGGTGCTATTTCCTGTAGGTTTTTGGGAACAATTTGTTGGACTGACGATGAATTCCTTTGCAGAGAAGCCCAGCGGTAGCAGGGAGCTCCTGGAAAGCAAAGGAATCCTCGTGGCCGACGTCAACACCTTCCTTGGGACGGTGCAGAAAGTGGCTGCCCCCTTTAGAAGCAGCTATTGGTAAGGAGAGAGCACGGGGTTGTCCCTTTCTCCCCCCCAAAAAAAGGGCCGGGAGCAGCTTTTGGGTCATCTGTGGGGTGGCAGGGAGGAGTCCAGAGCCAAGAGGGCCCATGTTTGGCTACCGGAACCGCACCAGCGCTTGCCCAAATGAAGCTCAACAAGAGGTCGGAGCAAGAAGGGGAGCAGAGCAGTGACCCGAGCCACGTTTCTGTGTTGCAGGTGACGAAGCGAAGCCACAACACGGCCCCCTCCTGGTCCCTGACGTCCCTGTGGCTTTTCAGGCGCTGCACCCAGGAGAGGGGGGGCAGGGCTGTGGGGTCTGTATATAGGAATTATTTAAAGATGATGGCTCGAATGCAAATCCTCCCTCCCCGGGGGGGTGGATTTAGCGTCTGCCGTCGAGTTGCGTATGGGAGAGAGGTTATTTTAAACACGATGCAGTTTTAAATTATTGGGAGTTGGGTTGTTTGCTTGTTTTGTTTGTTTTCTTTTTGTCCCAAGTGTTTAGTGCAGCTGACATTGGTTGAAATAGGAAAAAAAAAATCAATTCCAAACCAAGCTGTTTACTTGAAGGTCAGGAGCAATACGAGTCTACAATAATAAATGCATTTTTCTGACCGTGCGCAGGGTGGGTGTTAGGGACCAGCGAGCCCCCACTCCACACTACATTTCAAATCACCCCCCCGCTTCACCACTTGGTACCATTTCACTGCTGGGGCTCCGACCGGTACGTGGATGCCGTGTAAATAAATAGCCAGGATGCAGGAACTACAACAACCACCACCTCTTATTTATGGTAGCTCAGACACACGCCGGGAAGGAAATACCGCGTTGAAGACCTTTGTACGATACCCCTACCTGTCAGTGTGAGGACAGCGTTGTCCTCTTTTGGTTTTGTTTGTTTTTTTTTTTAATAAAAGAATGCAAGAATGTTATGTACAGGATGTCTTTGTATTGAGGTTGTTTAATTAAAAACAAAAAACACCTTAAAAATTGAAGTTTCACACCCTGCTGCTCGCTGGAGAGGGGTTTCCTGCTCAGCACCCAGCCTCTCCCATCAGCAGGGGCAGAGAACAGCAGCTTTAGATCAGAAATCACAGAATGTGAGGAGTTGGAAGGGACCTGGAAAGCTCCCCCAGTGCAACCCCTGCCAGAGCAGGATCACCAGAGCAGTCACACACGAACACCTCAGGGCTTTGGGGGTCTCCACACAAGGAGACTCCACAACCTCTCTGGGCAGCCTGGGCCATGCTCTGCACCCTCACACTGACAAAGTTTGGCCTCATCTTCAGCTTGAACCTCCTGTGCTCCAGCTTGGGACCATTGCCCCTTGTCCTGGCATTGGACATCCCAGAGCAGAGCCTGGCTCCTTCCTCCTGACACTGCCCTTTCCAAATTGATCCCCAGGAATGAGGGCACCCCTCAGTCTCCTCTGCTCCAAGCTCAAGAGCCCCAGCTCCCTCAGCCGCTCCTCAGCAGGAGATGCTCCACTCCCTCCAGCATCTTTGTGGCCCTGCTGGACTCTTTCAAGCAGTTCCTGTCCTTCTTGACCTGAGGGCCCAGCACTGGACACAAGATTGCAGCTGTGGTGTGAGCAGGGCAGAGCAGAGGGGCAGGAGAACCTCTCTGCCCTACAACCACCCCTTCTCATGCAGCCCAGGATGGCGTTGGCCTTCTTGGCTCAAGGGCACATTGAAATCAGCTTTATTCTGCCTTAACCCCAAATTTTGAAGCCCCTGTGGGAAGGAAAGAGGGAGGATGGCTTGGTTCTACCATGGTGTGAGGGCTGCAGGCTCCATCCCCTCCTCCTCCCTTGCACAAGCGTATGAGGAAAATCCAGGTTACAGCAGAGAGCGGCAACAGAAGGATTTAGGACCCCAATTTCCCACCCGTGTTGGCTCAGGTTTGCCTTTGAAAAGGCTCCATTTGTTGAGTAGCTCAAGAGAGGAAGCACAGGGGAAAGGAGAACTTCCCCAACCGCTGCGGCCATAGCAGCACCTGGCTCCCAGCAGCTTAAAATGGAAATAAGGGGGTGTTTCTGGAACCAGCGCCCGAGCAGAGGAAGTGCCAAAAACCCCCAACACCCAGGGGGAGGAAGGGAAGGGACGGCTGCACCCAGGCCCTGCTTTGGGAACGAGATGTGGTCAGAGCTGCAGTTCCTCAGCAGTAGCAGCATAAGAGCGGCTGAAGCCAAGGCCCAGCCCTTACCCACCGCCCCTGCCTGGCCAAGGATGGCAGCCGAGAGCAGGAAAAAGCCTTTCCAAGGTGTTTCTCCCAGTTTTTCCTGGCTCTGTGTGTAAACACGAGCCCTGCTCCTCCCTCTGCGACAGCAGGATCGCTTCAGGGGATCAATACAACTCGCTCCAAGAGGAGCGGCTCTTACTCAGAGCTCAGCGCCCTGCAGAGGAGCTGCAAGAGGAAGAATTATTTACTGCAGCCTCAAGCAAGCGCCGTTTCTGGATTCAGGCAGCAGGGGCTGCTTGTGCCTACCCAGAGCCTGGGATCCAGCGACAACCCTGGTGCTGCTGCGCCTCTTCCCCTGCCAAAAATCAGCCTGAGCCTGATCTCACGCAGGAAAACGCTCACGTTTCAACCCCTGGGGGCAGAGATCCAAGGGATCTCCCGAAGGAGATGCTGCTGCTGCTGCTGCTGCTACGACTGAAGCGAATCAGAGCCAGAGCCCAGGACTGGTTTCCAGAATTTGGCTTTACTTCGCAGTACAGAAATCATTTGGAGCCTTCAGGAGACGGGAGAAGCACAGGCTCTGTCATGCCGATACCGCAGCGCCGTTTGGTCCATCCGAGAAGCCACCGAGGGACAGAAAATACTCCCACATCTTTGCCTGCTCTGTAATTTGTTCTCTCAATTTTATTAAGATTAAAACACAAAAGGAGCCTTAGGCACAGCTGTGTCCCAACCGCTGTAAACGAGTTTCGAGAAGCTGAAAAGTGGAGGTTAAAGGTTCTGTGCCCGGAACGAAAGCCAACATTTTGCTGCTACAATAGATGTGGGCTTTGTCCATAATACAACTTTGCCACAGAGTTAAGATCGATGGGAAGAGACTTTGAGGGATGCTGTCCACAATAATGGAGTGCTCAAGTTTCTATATTCCTTGATAATCAGGGTGGGTTGTTGTTTTTTTTTGAGGTGACAACCGTCACGGCTACGAGCTCACCAAGAAGCACATAATAGTGAAGGATGGGTTACAGATGCTTTAAAAAGACAAAGGGAAGACACAGCTGTCAATGAGTTATTTGCCAATCCGCACCAAAAACGTCTACGTCTGCCCCCCCCAAAAAAAGAAAGAAAGAAAACAAAGGGGGGAAAAAAAAATAAGAGAACAAACCCAAAAAGGTTCAGTCTGCCTTTCCTTCCCGAGGTTAGTCGTTAAATCAGTCAGTAATTTGCCAGATTCTGGACAGCAGCCCTACTTAGAATGAAATAATTAAACACATGATATCCAAAAGGGGAACATTACCAGTGCAGTACTCTTCAATCTCTCAGAGATGGGATTACAAAAGCAGGCCTTACAATATTGAATTTCATACAGTGTTCATTTAAGTTCCTTATATATTCATATTAGCCCATTTTAATTTTCTCCTAATTAAAGAGATTTCTCATTACTGCTGCTCCTCCTCCCCATAGATATCGTTTTTCTTGCGTTTCATCTCTTCGAAGTCGAACTCTGAGCCCATCATCCGCTTATAAATATCTTTGATGTCGTCGCACGTCGTCTCGAAGTGAGTGGTGGCGTCGTAGGTGCGAGAAATGAAGATCTGGGAGGAGAAGCGGGGTTGGGGTTTAGCGCCGAGCCCCTCTCCTCACCCCCTCAAACCCACGAGCTCGGGGTTTAACTCACCTGGCTTTCGGTTCCCAAGTCGGTCGGCGCGAACAGGTCGCTGATGCTAACGAACCTGCAAGGAGGGGGAAGAGACAAAGAGATTTAGGATGGTTTTAAAAGCACTGTAGAGCATGGCTACGGGTGCAGGAACGTGTCAATTAAAGGGCATCGCTCTGCCCAGCGCGGAAGCAGAGGAAATGCAGCGTTTCAACACCTCCACGCAGCCAAGCGGCCTTGCGGGATCCCCTCTGCCTTCGCAGGGAGGTGACACAAAGGGGACGGGGACCTCGTCGAGGGGCTTACTTCTGCTCAATGGGCTCCAAGAGGTCCAAGGCCGGCTTGATCTCCTTCTCCGGGTCGGCGGTTTCCACGGTAGTGCTGGCGATGGCGATGTACTTCCCCTGCGCCGCCACGTTGTGCGCAGAGGAGATCATGCAGACGTAGATGTCTGGGGGGGAAGGACAGCGCAGCCGCGGGTCAGGACGCGCCAGGGAAGCCGACAGCACCGGCCAGGCCTAAAGCTTCCCAAAATCCAACCCCAGCTCGCACGCTCGTGCATCTCCTCTCAATCCCCAACGCTCTGAACCTCCTTGTGTCGTTTAAGCCCACGATTGATTTGGTTCCTGAACAGTCACAGAGTCGTTATGGTTGGAAAAGACCTTTAAGATCATCACTTGAGGCCATTTCCTCTCGTCCTGTCGGTTGTGATTTGTGAGACCAACACCCACCTCTCTACCCCCTCCTTTCAGGGAGTTGTAGGGAGTGATAAGGTCTCCCCTCAGCCTCCTCTTCTCAAGATCCTCTTCCCCAGCCTGACCCAACCCCACCTCCCTCAGCCGCTCCTCATAAGACAGATCCTCAGGACCCTGTCCTTGCCCTGCAGTCCCTCGTGCTCTCAGTCTCTTGGCTGTGTGGCATGGACTCGAGCAGCCCCGTGAGTTCTCCAAAATCCAGTTTCCTGTGGCTCTGACAGCTCCTGAAAGCCTGCAGGGACCCCAGCCCTGAGCCCACTCCTCTGTTCAAGAGAGAGGAAGCATTTCCACTCAGCCCCCTCCCAGAGCTCCCCCGTGCTCCTCACCCACTTCTCCCAGGTTGGGCCACTTCCTTCAGCAGGTTCCAACCACGGTTTTCTGACCACAGGCAGCCCAGCTTCTCCCACATCCCCCAGCGCTGCTCTACGCTAAAGCCCAGCCTCAAGGACATGAAGTGGACCAGGGAGCAGCAGTAAACACATTTCCCTGTTTAATTTGCATCTCACTGGGCTATCAGTGGCCATTTAGAGAATCACAGGATCATTAAGGCTGGAAAAGACCTCTAAGATCATCAAGTCCAACCATGAACCCAACCCCACCATGGCCACTAAACCATGGCCCCAAGTGCCACATCCAGGTGCTTCTTGAACCCCTCCAGGGATGGGGACTCCACCACCTACCTGGGCTGCTCCTGTCAGTGCTGGACCACTCTTGCAGTCCAGAAATTTTTCCTCAGATCCAATCTAAACATCCCCTGGCACAACTTGAGGCCATTTCCCCTTGTCCCATCAGTTGTAACTTGTGAGAAGAGACCAACATCCACCTCTCCACCCCCTCCTTTCAGGAGTTGTAGAGGGGATAAGGTCTCCCCTCAGCCTCCTCTTCTCCAAACTAAACACCCCCAGCTCCCTCAGCCTCTACCCATCATTCTTGTTCTCCAGACCCCTCCCCAGCTCCGTTGCCCTTCTCTGGCCACGCTCCAGCCCCTCAATGTCCTTCTTGTAACGAACCACCCTGCCAAAAACCCAAGCGTGAAGGGACCTGCACACACCCTGTAAAGTCCCCGCTCTCCACGCACCTGATTTTCGGTTGACCTGGTTCTGTGGAATGATGATCTGGCACGAGTTGGCGTCGTTCGTGTTCTTAATCGGGTGGCTCAGGATGCAAATTACCCGGATCACTTGGCCGACCTTCGTTACGCGGTCCGAGACGTAGCTGGGGTCGCAGATGAGCTGTTTGCAGCGAGCAACCTGCGGAGGACAGACGGACCTCGAGCGACCATCGCGCAGAGGGGAGGAACCAGCCCATTTTGGGGATAAACCAGGGGTGGTTTGAGGCAGCTGCTCCTGCATCAGGTTCTTATTTCGCTGCCAGCAGCGCGCCTCAGCTCGGGCAATCCAAATCTCAGCGTGTTGCTCTTAAATGCCTACAGAGAGCCGCGTGATCGCATCTTCCCCTTCATTCAGGACAAAGTCAAGCTCTTACCAGTACAGAGTCCAGTCCTCCCAGTCTAGGACCATCATTTGCTGCTGGCAAGGCTGAACTAAATTGTCCAGTTTGCCTCAGAACTTACTTTTACAGTATTTTAGTTTAATTTACAGTCTTTTAGTC